TTTAAGCTGAAGGTATAAATTTTAAAAGAAATGCAGAATAATGGCATACTTAAAATAGTATGAAGTTAATTTGAGAATTCCTGAAGTTAAATTTCAGGTCAGATGTCAAAGTCCCTATGGACATATGTTAATAGAAAGCAGAGGTAGAGAGAGGAAAACTGATAGATGTTAATGAGCAGATGGATAGTATGGGTTAAGGTGTATGCAGCCTTTCAGCTTGAAAGGAGAAATGACTACTATAGTTTAAGGAATAACCTCTTCTTGCTGATTACTAACAGATCATTTACCTAACAATGGTTACTATTTATTTGATCCCTGCCTTGTGTCTAGACAGTGTGCTAGTTGTTTTACATAGATTATTTCTAATACCTATAACAATCCTACAAAATTACATATTAATAACTTATTAGTAATTATTTAAACTCCATTTTACAGGTGAAAGAATTGAAACTCAGCATTTCAGTAATTTGCCAAGATTCTGGTTAGTATAGAGCTAAGACTGGATTTGAAGCCAGGTCTCTCTGATTCCAAAGGCCACAGTCACTCTTCTATATTATACTTCGTTTAACTGCATATTCCCCTATCTCATTAGTCCTTAGTACAGAGGCCAGCCCAGGACAAATATTCAGCAGGGAGATATAGCCCAAACAATGTATACACATATGAATAAATGTATAAACAATTAAAAAATAAAATATATTCAGCTGGAAGTGATCTCAAAATAGAAATCTGAGAACCTACTTTTGCACTTAATCCAAATTGTTTCCTAACAATTCTACCCACCCTACTCTGCCCCACCCCATTCCTTTCCTTCTACCTTACTAGTCCTTCTGAAGGACATCCACTTTCCTTCTTTAGGGCATTTACCTAATTTTTTTTCTTTTTCGGTACTGGGGCTTGAACTCAGGGCCTTCACCTTGAGCCACTCCACCAGCCCTATTTTTTGTGAAGGGTTTTTCAAGATAAGGTCTTGTGGAATTATTTGCCGGGGCTGGCTTCAAACCATGATCTTCCATATGCCTCCTGAGTAGCTAGGATTACAGGCGTGTGCCATGGCTTGGTGTGTGTGTTTTTTTTTAATATGGAAAACTTCAAGAATTTGTGCATCATTCTTGCGCAGGGGCCAAAGCTAATCTTGTCTGTATCATTCTAATTCTAGTATATAGTATATGTGCTGCTTAAGTGAGCACTGCTTGAGCTTTTAAAGGTTCATCTTGTCAGCCATCGCTAGTTCCATCTCTTCCAGGGAGGAAGTCTCCAAAAGGAAGGAAGCTTCTACCTGACCTTCGGGTACCCAGTTCGTGATGTTGCAAAAAACAAAGAAAACAATTTTAGGACACATTGAGGTAGAGAACAAAAAGGTTAATTAGTAAAGCAAGCAATGATAGAAACGTATACAACCCAGACATGGGTGCAAGCACATCTGAGAGCTTGTTTGGAGGTTCTAGCAGGGGAGCGCAGCTACTCGTATACCCTTGACCGAAGAACGGTCCTCCTCTATCGGGGATGGTCGTCTTCTTCCACCGAGCGCACAGCTTCGGGAGGGACGCACATGGAGCGGTGAGGGAGGAAGGGGACACCCGCCTAGCCAGCCAGATCAGCCGAATCAACCCTGGCGATCAATGGGGTGACAGATGTCGCAGCCAGATCGCCCTCACATCCAACAAGCACATCTGATAACAGGTGCAAGGAGTGTTCTATCATCAGGGTATTTATGGTGAAAAAGTAGGTTGGGGAGGTTGGCTTAAACTTACCTTAGGATAAGTGCTATACCCGGTATATTTCATTTTTTTTTTTGTTGTTACACTGTTTTTACCAATTGGGCCCAGAGACTTCAAGGTTGGGCTGCTTATTAAATTTGGGTCATTATGACATAGATGTTTGAGTCTGGCAGGATAGGTCCTGCCAGATGCTCCCTTCAAGACAGGTGTCCATCTTTGTGGTATTTTCCTTTGTAAACACTTTTTGTACCCAAAGGAGTCATTTTCCCAGGTGGGTTTTCCAAGGATAACAATCTTTTAAAAAAAGATATCCTTGCTCACTTTCCAGAGCACAGTAATTATTTGGGCAAGCAGGAAAGGCCAGAGGGAGAGAACTTCTCTATCCCCCTTTTTTCTTTTTACTAAATGTTATAGCTTATTGAGGGGATGCAAGGCTTCAAGCAAATAAAATAGTGCCTGTGTGCTTTAACACATTAACACAGTGTTTGTCATTAATACAGTGTTTATCTCTGAATTCCTGGCTTCCATTTCCCATGCCTCACATCCCCTGATTTATTCTGCCTCAATCTCACTCTTCACAAACTGTCAGCTTATCACTTGGCCAGAGAAACTTTCCTTAGCCATAATCTCTAAAATAGACCCCCTAATATTGCCTATGCCAGTCATCGTTTTCAAATGTTGTCAGTTTATTTCGTGGTCTTTTCAAGTATTAAGCCCCAAATGAGACCAGAGAACTTGAAAGTCTTGTTTACCTTCAATTTCCTAGAGCTGTTCTATTCTATACAGGAGTCACTAGCCACATATGGCTTTTTTTTCCTGTGGTATTGTGACTTGAACTCAGGGCCTACACCTTGAGCCACTCCACTAGCCCTTTTTTGTGATGGGTTTTTTTCGACATAGGGTCTCATGAACTATTTGCCTGGGCTGGCTTCAAACCTCGATCCTCTTGATGTGTGCCTCCTTAGTAGCTAGAATTACAGATGTGAGCCACTGGCGCCTTGCTCACAAATGTGATGCCACTTAACTTCCATGTTAAGATGTGCAGTTAACTCAGGCAACAGTGGCTCACACCTGTAATCCTAACTACTTGGGAGGGTGAAATAGGGAAGATCACAATTTTGAGGCCAGCCCTCAAGAGAGAGACCCTATCTCTAAAATAAACACAACAAAATGGACTGGAGGTGTTGCTGAAGCAGTAGAGTACCTGTTTTGTAAGCACAAAGCCCTGAGTTCAAGTCTCAGTCCAACTGAACAGAAAATAAATAAAAATGTAAAATATATGCCAGATTTCAAAGACTTGGTATGAGAAAAGAAAGTGTAAGATTGCAGTATTTTTTATATTGATCACATGCTCAAATGATAAGATAGTCAGCCTTCAGCATCCTCAGAGGACTGGTTGCAGAATCAACCCCACATCATACTAAAATCTGATGCTCAAGTCCTGTATATAAAATGGTGTAGTATTTACTATAACCTACATACATTCTGTATACTTCAAATCACTTTAGGCTAATTATATTACCTAGTATACCCTAAATGCTATTTTTATAGCATTTTTGTAATGTATTCTTTAGGGTAAAATGACAACAAAAATTAAGGACATTACAATTTTTCTAAAATATTTTCCATCCACAGTTGGTTGAACCCATTGATTGAGAAACCAGACAAAACGGCTGACTGTATTTGTATACATTAGGTTAAATATGTGGCTAAAATTAATTTGTTTCTTCAATTTCTTTTTTTAACGTGGCCACTAGAAGACTTTAACATACATACTTGACTCATATTTCTAGCCTCTGGGACAGTGAGGTTCTGGAGCCTAGCAAAGTCAATTGGCCCATTTTACTAAGTGGAATAACCAATGTTAAGAGATATACAGAATGAGTTGGTGTGCGAACAGATACAGTATTTGGCTTCCATTGGGAAAGCGTACAGTTCTGTATTAAAAGTGAGATGTAGGCTCTGGTCCGCAATTTACTGGAAACACTGTGTTGCCTCGGACAAGCCCTACCCTACTCTGGTCATCAACCTGCCCATCAGGTAGTTCATCTCTGAGGTCTGGAAGTTTGTAATAAATGGGAAGTCTAGTGCAATGGAATCTGTCTTCTGTTTGGCTCTAGCCTAAGCACTTGAGCCTTGGCTCAAGGGAGGAGGAAGCGGGAGTTGCAACCTAGACCCCTAAACTCAGCATCAGGGCGGTCGGCTTCCTCCGGCCGACGTCATAGTACTACGCCGGTAGCTGCAGCTGAGGGACATTTGGTGCAGGCGAGCTCCGGCCAGAGAGTCAAACAGTTCACTGAGTGTCGTGGAGTCTCAGTTCTCAGCAAACTTCACCCTGCAGCCCTCCCTTTTACTGCACCACTATCCCGTACAGGCTCCGGAGTGACAGAAACTCAGCCCCAAGCGTGCAGAGCCGAGGTTCAGCGCGGCTGCGCAGAGCACGTGCGCAACCTCGCAGGAGTCCCGGCGATTGGCTGTGACGTAACTTCCGGCGTGAGCGGCGAAAGCCGGGAGGGTGAGCAAGAGAGCGAGCAGGCAGCAGGCAGGCGGGCGGACGGACGGACGGACGGCACGGAGGGAGGGAACAAGCAAGCGGTGAGAAAGCCAGCGAGGGCTGCCGGGTCCTGAGGGCAGCCGAGATTCCTCAGGTCCCTCTGGCCCCCTCCCCGGAGCCCACAGCGCCTCCGGTCTCCAGCGGAGCGGACACGGCCCGGCCCGGCCATGGCCTCGTTGCTGAAGGTGGATCAGGAAGTGAAGCTCAAGGTAGCGGCATCGGTCCAGGCCTTTTTACCCCTCGCTTCTAACCCCCTCCTCAGTCTGACCGGCTCCCCACTCCCCATGGCGTCTTTGTCTCCCTGGGGACACCAGCTCTAAGCTTCCGCTCGGCTCATCCCAGCCCCCCACTCCAAGAGACAGCATGGGGGAAGAGGACTATATAGGATGGCTTTCTGTACCGTGTCTGGTGATGGAGAGCCCTGGGGAGACCTCTGTGGACATGTGTTGGACTTAGTGCTTTAGTCCAGTGACAGCTGGAAGTCCCCCAGCCCAGCAACGTCCCCGCCCCCCGACGCTGCAGCTGACCCTGCTCTCGGAGGCTGGCCTGTTGCGTTTGATAGGCCAGGTCTGGGTGGGAGTTGGCACTTTTGTGAGCTCACATCTCCCTGCCTGTCTTTTGTCTGCTTATCAAATTCAAACAGCTTCAGGCACAGGGAGGGAGGGAAGAAGGGGGGAGAGGAGACAGACGGATGCTGCCCACAGCCCCAACTTCCCTCTCCTAAGATGGAGAAATGGATCCTCAAAAAAATAAAGTATTTGCAGTCCGGGGGCCTTTCACCTTCTCATTATAATTTAAAGGTGAAGGAAAGACAGCTGGATTTGGGATTCCTCATCCTTGCCCTTAACTCTGTTACCAGGTACTGAATCACTCTCTTTGTTGTTAATTTTAGGTTGATTCTTTCAGGGAACGGATCACAAGTGAGGTGAGTGAAGTAAATAGAAAGATGAGTGTTGTTTTTTTAACTGTAGGTTTTCCAAAAAGGAATATCGGTAGAGACCTTCCCACAGTTATTAATTCAGGTTTATTTTCCCCTCATCTAGGCAGAAGACTTGGTGGCAAATTTTTTCCCAAAGAAGTTGTTAGAACTTGATAGTTTTTTGAAGGTGAGAGAACCTTTTCTTTCCTTAAATTCCCCTTTTTGTTTTTAGTCTTAGTCTTTCTGACAAATGGGACAAATTGTGTGTTGATTCTGTTGTTTTTGTACTATAAAGCGTTCTCATTTCTTGTCCTTAAAACTAAATATTCTTCGTTTAGCTTGAAAAGACTAATGTTTTCGGGTGGGTATCTCTTTCAGGAACCAATCCTAAACATCCATGATCTAACTCAGATCCACTCAGACATGAATCTCCCTGTCCCTGACCCCATTCTTCTCACCAATAGCCATGATGGACTGGATGGTGTAAGTGTTTTATGTTTATTTTTGTGTTCTTAAGCAGAAGTCAGTCCAGTATTTTCTAGTAAATTTGAGGATGTACATAGAGGATAGTAGGATTTGGATGTGAGGCTGAGGACTTTTGATTGTTACAGACATAATGATTCCAGTTTACTCCTTTTTAATCCTGATTTTCATTTATAACAGGAGTTGAATATGTTAATGTTACTCTAAATGTTAACTTGAGTTTCATATAGGTCTGAAGTAGCTACAGGTTCCCTCAGATTACCAGACTTTTCCTATGGTTCTGAACAAAACTTTTCTTACCTGCTTTGTTATTATTATTTTGATATATTTTTCTCTTTTTTTTTTATTAGTGTATATTAATTGTTCTTACCTCTTTTTCTGTCTTAAGACTTGTTATGGGATGAGAAGTTCTTGCTGTATACCTGCACTCCTTATCTTTGCTGTGCATCTTTAGCACTTAGATTTTTTCAGTCATATGTCCACATTCTAACATCAGTGAAACTGTATTGTTCTTTATATACTGTCTCATTGATAGAACTTAAACATTTGGATTAAAGCAGAAACTGTCTTTTTTTAGTAGTGGGATTTGAACTCAAGGCCTACACTTTTGAGCTACTTTGCCAGCTCTGTTTTTGTGTTGGGTATTTTTGAGATAGGGTCTTTTGAACTATTTGCCTGGGCTGGCTTTGAACAGTGATCCTCTTGATCTGTGCTTGAGCCACCAGTACCCGGCCAGAAACTATCTTAATTGAAATTAATTAACTAATTTTCAATTAAGGCAGGAACTGTTTTGTCTTTGTATCCTCAGTTCCTAGCATTGTTTCTAGCAGATAGCAGTTGCTGATTACATGTTTGTTAGTCAAATATTGTGTTATTTGTGGAACCAACAGATTTGCATATAATCCTTCTATTGTTCTTCACCCTGCCTTGATTGTTGATTGGTTCCTTTTTCTTATTTTTTTTTTTAAATAGTAGCCTCCCTGTTCCTCAATTAGGTTTTTTTTTTTCTTAAATGGAAATAGGGTTTGAACTCAGGGCTTTGCACTTGGAAAGTAGGCACTCTCGATTGCTTTTAATGTGTTGTATTTTTTGTAAGTTTGGTCTTCCCAACCACAGTGTAAATTTCTTGTGGCAAGAATCTTTTTTTTAAAGCTTTATATATACTTGGAAATTATGCAGAAATTAACAATGGTTGAGGAAGGGATTAAACTTGCTCAAAGGTTATCTTGTGGGCAGGAGGGCTAATTCCTACCTGTTTGTATCTTTAGCCCACTTATAAGAAGCGAAGGTTGGATGAATGTGAAGAGGCCTTCCAAGGTAAGAGCTACCCCCACCCCGCTGGTCTCATCCTACCTGCTAACCAGCAGCTCTGAGAAATAGGATGAATCTGGTGTTTTATAGGCCAGAAAGCAATATCTGATTTTATTTCCCAGGGTCAACATTCACAAGTCCTCCAAACATGGTCATTATTTAGCACTCTAAACCTCACCTTCCTATATACAGAGAATATTTGACTTACCGTGACTTGCCAAAGAAGAGCAATTAGAGTAGAGACCATGCATCTCAAATTTTTTACAGAAGTCTCAGTTCTATGTTATTTTTTTTTCTTTCAATAGCAGTTGCTACATTGTCTTTAAAGTTTTAATGTCCTATTCTTAATATTTTTGGCATACTTCAGCTGTACATCTGTTGATCCATAAATCTCTCCTTTTGATTCTAATAGTGGTGTCATGTAGGATTGTGACAAGTGAAAGACAGAGATGGTAGCAGCTCATGTGTCTAGGAAAGAAGAGGAAAAGGTAAAGGATGCTATCGCTTTCCTCTCACCCTAATCATTTGACTTTCATCTCTGCCAGGAACCAAGGTGTTTGTGATGCCCAATGGGATGCTAAAAAGCAACCAGCAGCTGGTGGACATTATTGAGAAAGTGAAACCTGAGATCCGGCTGCTGATTGAGAAATGTAACACGGTGAGGCAGGGGCCCCAAATAACTGCACTTGAGCTATGAATAATGATGGACTGGGGATGCAGTTCAGAGTTAGAGTATTTGCCTAGTATTTGCAAGGCCCTGGGTTCAATCTGTAGCACTGCCCAAAAAAAAAAAAAAAAAAAAAGAATGGGTGAAGGGCTGTAGACAGGAATGCAGAATGGCAGGCTAAGTATGGAGTCCTGTGTTCCTGGCATCTGGCCTCAGCAGCATGAATCCTGTATTTCGTGGCTTCAGCAGAAGAGGCCTCATATGTGTGTTTGATTCTCTCACCCTCCAGGTCAAAATGTGGGTACAGCTCTTAATTCCCAGGATAGAAGATGGGAACAACTTTGGGGTATCTATTCAGGTAATGAGCTTGCATTACAAACAAAAGGAGGGTCTAAGAGATACTTTTCATCTCTCCTGTTTTATCTGTTTTCCCTTTCTCTTTGAGGCTTCTGTGGGGTTTTTGAAAATGGCTTTTGATTCACCATTTTTTTTTTTTTCCCCAGGAGGAGACAGTTGCAGAGCTAAGAACTGTTGAGAGTGAAGCTGCATCTTATCTGGACCAGATTTCTAGGTAAGGCTACTTGGGCCTGGCCCAGAAACTGGGGGTGGTAAGGTGGTTGTGATGGCCAGGATCTCCCTGCAGCTGCTTCCTTTTCTCTCTTCTTCCAGATATTATATTACAAGAGCCAAATTGGTTTCAAAAATAGCTAAATATCCCCATGTGGTAAGTAAGAGTTTTGTGGCCTGAGGGTGGAGGTAGCAGAACAAGGAGAAGCGACCATTATTGGGAGTAAGCTGTCTGTAGACAGTCAGGCCTTAAAGGGAGACTAGCCTTTTTCTTTGCCCCCACCCCACACAGGAGGACTATCGTCGCACCGTGACAGAAATCGATGAGAAAGAATACATTAGCCTTCGTCTCATCATATCAGAGCTGAGGAATCAATATGTGAGTAACTGTGGTTTTTGTCTCCAGTTGCCCTTACTTCTGATTATAATTTTTTTTTAAAGAGGCTTAGAGGTAAAACGAGTAGAACAGGCACAGTGACATGTGCCTGTGATCCCAGCTATTCAGAAGACTGAGGTAGAAGGAGTGAGGTCAGCCTAAGAAACCTAGAGACCCCATCTCCAAGGAAAAAAAAAAAAAAGACTAGCCAGGTGCCTGTGGCTCATGTCTATAATCCTAGCTACTCAGGAGGCAGAGATCAGGAGGACCACAGTTTAGAGTCAGCCTGGACAACTAGCTTGTGAGACCCTATCTGGAAAATACCTATCCCAAGAAAAGGGCTGGTGGAGTGGCTAAGGTGTAGGCCTTGAATTCAAGTCCCAGTACCATTTAAAAAAAAAAAAAAGTGTAGAACAATTGCTGTTCATCAACCAGGTGCTGAGAACCATAAAATCATTGAGGGTGACTAGTTGGATATCTTCCTTCTTTCTGTCTCAGTGGGAGTGTGTGTACAAAATACAGAATAATGGTTAGAAGTGGGTCTTGGAGTCAGAACGACTTAGGTTTGGAAACAGATTCCACCTGTAATGTGTGATCTTGACCTTGCTCAAGTTCAAACTTCAGTTTCTTCATCTCTAAAATGGAATTCTAAGAATACTATCTGCTGCACTTTTTTTTTTTAGTGAACTAGTGTAGTAAAGGACATAACTACGATTCTCAGTATGTTAAGTGCTAACGCGAGCTGTTATATGCTATTGTTAGATACCTGGGGCCTTGGCAGTACCTACTGGTACTTGGTTTAGGGGTAAAAGAGTTAATACAGCTACCCTGAACACAGATTCAAGTGAGTGAGATTGGAATAATGGGAATGGTTACTTGCGGACTTAGTGGGAGTGTGTTGTTTTCTTGGTGAGGTCGGGATTGAACAGATGTGTGAATCCTTGATCCTTCTTCTCCAGGTCACTCTACATGATATGATCCTGAAAAATATCGAGAAGATCAAACGGCCCCGGAGCAGCAATGCAGAGACACTGTACTGAGGCCAGGGCCAGGGCCAGGGGACTCTGTGAGTCTGGCTCAAGACCGACATTGCCTTGGTTTGTTACATGACTATCGTGATGGGGAAACTGGCTGGAAATAGTAATCACACCTCTCTGTTTTTAGTTAGAGTCTAATGAAACTCTCATCTAGTTCTGTGATGTGTTTACCTCTTTTTTCAGGCCTCAGGAACTCTTCTATATCCTTCCCTAATACCCAAACCCAGCCTGCCCTAATTTCTGGAGAACTCCAGGTTTGCGTGTGCAGGATTTTGGCACAAGAATACTTGTGTTTTCTCTCTCCCCTTTTCTCCTTCCTGTGTCTTAGGCTTTTTATTTTCTTCCTTCTGATGATTAGTTGGTTAAAAGCTGAGGGAACTATAGGGAAAGTGCTAGATGTTTTTTAGGAACTGGGGTGGCGAGGGTGCTCATCTCTCTTCCTCTCATAAGGCTAGTATCTCTTGCCTCTGTGCGACATTGGGTCTTCCCTGCCACAAATTCCCTGATGATAACAAAGGGGTTCCCATCTATATATATATATATATATCCCACCTTGAACCTGATCATGACAAGGAACACTTTAGGCTTTCAGCCCAACTCCTAGCTCCTAGAGATGTTTTTATAACTGGGGTTTTCACATACACATGTGTACGCATGTACACACTCATAAGGACATGTGCACATGCCTTCATACTCCATTGCCTAATATACCTTCCTCCCTTCACACTGCCCCTCCACCCCAGTCCCTGTGACACACACACCTTTCAACAGGTATAGTTGTCTTAGTCCAGGCATAAGTCCTGGGCCCATACTTCCTCCTTATGTTTTAGCCTTTTGGTGCCCAGGGTAAGTTGGAGGAGAACCAAGAGCTGAGAAGCAGAGGGTGAGGAAGGCCTTTTCCTCTGTGACTCATGTTCTTTTTTGGTCTTATGCAAAAGCTGGTCCTCTGACTCCTGCTTGCCTTCTCCCAGGCCAGTTATTCATTGGGGTGGGGTGTCTGCAGCTGTGAGGTCCATATGCTGCTACTCCTGTTGGGCTTTCCCTTTGGGAAATATTTCTCTTATTTATAGTATTGTGCTTCCAGGGAAAGCAGTAATTTGTGTGTATGCACATTCACACATGTACACGTTTGTGTGTGTGTGTGTGTGCGCGTGTGTGTGTAAATATGCTGGGCAGGTCAAAACCATAGAAGAGTTGCCTCCTCTTGATTCTTCCAGAGATATCACTTACTGTTACAGCTTTTGTGTTAATCCTGTCTGCCCTCAGCTTTTTTATTCCATTAATGAGAGTTCACATTTGTGGTCAGCCTGCCAGGCACTCTCAGTGTCTATTTCTGACTTTTATTCTTCTCCATCTCTGTCTTCCAACCCCCAATCATATTTCCACCTGGGATGCATCATTTTTACTCCCAGTATTCTGTAGAAAAGGAGTCAGGATGCTCTCTTCCCATGAACAGTGCTCAGTAACAAACCAACTGCATTTTAGTTGGGCAGAACCCCTACCCATCCCTCAGATCCCTTCCAGCTAAACCCTTTCCTCCTCCTACCATGTGTTTCTGTTTCCTTTTTTGATTGTTCCACCCCTCTTCCCTGGATCGTAATGTAAAATTCTTTTACAATGTCAAGAAATTATTAAAAATACAGGTACTTTGACCTCTTTTTTTAAAACTGCAGACCCTGGTGCCATGCTCTGGTGGCTAGGGACACACTGATACGTGCATGTACATTTGGATACCCACCTCCACAGACACTTCTAGCCACCCTGTTGTGTGCCCTTCTGCCAACTGAGCTGCCTCTTTTCTCTGGGATAATGGAAAGACTGAGGCTTCTGCTGAGCAAGAGAGAGGGTGGGTCCATCATTTGTTTTCAATGTGAACTATGTGAAAGTTAGCCCTTCCCAAACCTAAGCTGCTTTTTGTCCCTCCCTGCACAAGATCCCAGTTTCTTCCATCCCTGATGATACCCATAAGCTGCCAGTAGAGGCTGCTATGGTTCCATGTGGGGAATGATCTGGTCAAGGTGTACCCTACCCAGTCATTTTCTTTACCTTATACTAATTCTCCTCTCTGAATAGTGTCTTAAGTCTCTTGAGGAAACTCCTGGTCTTGATTTCAGATTATTTGGAGGGCTTCCTAGGACTCTTACCTCCTTTCAAATAAAGTTTCCTCAACTTCCACCTTGCAAGTAGCCTGGTTTCCAGCAATCCCCATATTGTCTCTGAAAAGAGTTTTAAGGCCTTCAGCAATGGAGGTACAACTGTTCTATTCTGTTTTAGAGATCAGTACCAATCTAGCAATTTCTGACTACCTACCCCATGCACTTGATCTGCACGATCACATTTAATTTTTACGAATCTACAGGATTGTTTTATACCTTCATTATGTTTGAGTATTCACGATGTATCTACCCTAAGGTCAAACAGTTTGGAAAGCTAGTATGGATGTACAAAACTGAATGCTAAACCCAAGCTTTCAACCACTCCTTTGGAATTCAGTTACAGGCAGAACTGAGTGCTTACTGCTGAACTGGGAAGTGAATCCTGAAGTTATTGGGTTGTGATGCCTGCCAGGAGTAAAATTGATGGATGAGTGCTTGAATGTAGCATGCAAGACAGTACTGTGCACCAGAGATTAGCTTTCTTCCTCAGACCTATTCTGTATCATTGACCTGTTTAACATCATTGCTCCAGATGCCTTCTCGTCTGGTCTAAATGATAGAAAGCAGTAGTTAGAATTGACTGTTACAAGTAGGAACTTAGGGACAAGGAAGAAACTATCCATGTGGAAGTAATGACCCACGCCAAACCACAGGACAGAAACTGGAACAGAATAACATAAGTCAGAATTTTCCTGCCCAACCCACAGGGTGGAGTTTTCCCCGTTTCTATCCATCCTACTGAATATAAGCTCTGCCTTGATGTCAGGAACTGGAAGGAGCTGCTAGTGGGACTCTGATTGCTGTTCTCAACATGAATCTCAAGGTGGTCCTTGTGTCCCTGGTGCTGTCCCTTCTTACCATCTTTGCTTTGGCCTGTGTTTTGCTGACCAGGCAAGGTGGTTCCAGCCCACCTCCTCAATGTCTCTCTGTACCTCCCAGTGCTCAGCCCTGGACAAACCCTGGGCAGAGCCAGCTGTTTGCAGACCTGAGCCCAGAGGAGCTGATGGCTGTGATGAACTTTCTGACCCAGCAGCTGGGGCCAGGGCTGGTGGATGCAGCCCAGGCTCGGCCCTCGGATAACTGTGTCTTCTCAGTGGAGCTGCAGCTGCCCACCAAGGCGGCAGCATTGGCCCATCTGGACAGAGGGGGTCCGCCACCTGCTCGGGAGGCGCTGGCCATTGTCTTCTTTGGTGGACAACCCCAGCCCAATGTGAGTGAGCTGGTGGTGGGGCCTCTGCCTCACCCCTCCTACATACGGGATGTGACTGTGGAGCGCCATGGCGGCCCAGTGCTGTATCACCGACGCCCCATACTGACAGCTGAGTTTGTCCAGATGTGGAGGCATTTAAAAGAGGTGGAGCTACCCAAGGCACCCGTCTTCCTGTCTTCTGTCTTGAACTACAATGGTTCCACTTTGGCGCCTTTGCATTCCTCCCCTAGTGGCTTACGCTCAGGGGACCGTGCTACCTGGATAGCCCTCTACCATAACATCTCAGGTCTTGGTATTTTCCTTCACCCTGTGGGACTGGAGCTACTATTGGACCATAGAGCACTGGACCCTGCTCACTGGGCTGTCCAGCAGGTCTTCTACCTTGGGCACTACTATGCTGACTTGGGCCAGTTGGAATGGGAATTTAAGGCTGGCCGTCTAGAAGTGGTTAGAGTCCCTCTACCCTCACCAAATGGGACTTCATCATTGAGGTCCCGAGTCACCCCAGGCCCTCTCCCCCCACTTCAGTTCTCACCCCAGGGTTCCCAGTACAATGTACAAGGGAACTTGGTGGTATCCCCCCTCTGGACATTTACCTTTGGCCATGGGGTGTTCAGTGGCATAAGAATTTTTAATATTCAGTTCAAGGGTGAGCGAGTGGCCTATGAAGTCAGTGTCCAGGAGTGCCTTACTATTTATGGTGCTGATTCACCCAAGACAATGATGATACGGTATTTGGACAGCAGCTTTGGACTTGGCCGTTACAGCCGAGGCTTGGTGCGGGGAGTAGATTGCCCCTATCAAGCCACAATGGTGGACTTGCACATACTAGCCGGCACAGGGACTGTCCAGCTGCGCCCAGGGGCTGTGTGTGTATTTGAGGAGGCCCAGGGACTACCCCTTCGAAGGCACAACAGTTACATTGGGAGTCGGTTCTTTGGTGGTTTGGCCAGCTCAGCCCTTGTAGTCAGGTCTGTGTCATCTGTAGGCAACTATGACTACATTTGGGACTTTGTGTTGTACCCAAATGGGGCGCTTGAAGGGCGGGTCCATGCCACAGGCTATATCAACACAGCTTTCCTGAGTGGAGGAGCAGAGAGTCTCCTTTTTGGGAACCGAGTTGGGGAACGAGTGCTGGGGGCGGTGCACACACATGCCTTCCATTTCAAGCTGGACCTGGATGTGGCAGGTGAGTGCTTGGGTGAGGATTGAGGGTTGGGAGTGTGACAGAGGTCAGAGGTCCCCCAGATCAAGCTGAGATCTCTGAAAGGCAAGAGGACATTCTAGCACCTCAGTAATTTTCACAGCCAGGAGCAAGAGGATTATATGAGTGTGCTCAGCTTCAGCCACAGCTGGGTGTCTGGCCAGCTCCCATCCCCCAGCCCATCAGACTTCCTGCAGTTGTGAAACTAGTTTAAATGTAATGACCATGTCTGGCTGCCTTGTCCTTGAGTGACACTACAGGGGGAGTGAATTGGCCTTGGAATTGGATGGGGCTGGAGCCAGACACTTTGCTTCTTGCTCACTAATTATGAGGGTTAGAGGAGAGGGGAGGGGAGGATCCCGAGCAGAGAGCAATCTGGCTGAAGAGTTTCCAGGCAGGTGTGGGTCTGGAGTATGGTGGGGTTGCTCCATAGTCCATGTCACCATCCTCCTTGGGAGGGCTGTCCCATCCTGTCATCACAGCGAACTCTCCAGTGGTGTGGCAGGCATGCAATAGTCTTGCAAGTGAAGAAAGGGATTTCTCAAGTAGGACTCAAAGCTTAGAACATTGCTGTTCCTAACGGATTCTGTCAAAGACAGAAAATAAATACATCAAATCACAGACTTTGGACCAGAAAAATGAGAACTCCACCAGACTGTCTCCATTGCATAGTTGGAGAGACTAAGGATAGGCAGAGATGGGACAGGAAGTTTGTGCTCAAGTGTAATGCAATGCAACTAAGCATATATCTTGTGAAACATCTTATCCTTTTGAGTAAAAAGACCTGTCATGTTTGCCCTGCTGTTTGTGGCTGGGGTGTAGGGGAGAAAACTAAGAAAATAACATGGTTGAAGTGATCATGTTAACCAGGTTCTCTGACATATTTGGACTCTGACTGTTCCTATTGAAAGTTCTCTTCAGCACTTTTGGCATTAAAGAGTCTTGCTTTGGGAAGTCATATCAAGTAACATTTATTGCATTGCTAGTGTGTGTGGCACAGACTACTGCCATGGGGACAGAGGCTGTGTCAGGCACCTTCCCGTAGGTCATATTTAAAGGAACACAGAATCTACGTGATCAAGTGCTTCAGTGGATGATGCAGGCTCTAGGTGAAACAATTCAGGAAGCTCCCAGATAAGTGAAAGATAGGAATCTGCTCCCTCAAAAGACTGAAGTAGTCCCCATGTTGAGGTAGAAAGTAAAGCCTCAAGAGCTAGGAAAGTGTACCGGGACCATGGAAGGGGACTGGGTTTTTCCAGTAAGCTTCTCCAGGATACAAGTCCTTTCAAAGTCAGTGTTGCTAGTCAGATGCAAATGATTTTCCATTTATTGAGCACAGCCATAAAATGGCTTTAATTATGTCTGTGTAGCTATTCAGAAAGAGAATCAGAAGTAACTTGATCCAGGGTCTACTGGGTAGGTCAGTGCTAATAGAATTTTCTATAATGATAGAAACCTTTTGTATCTATGCTGTGGCTAAAACAAGCCTCTAGCCATATGTGGCTACTGAGCACTTTATTGTTTGGGGGTTTTTTGTTTGCTTGTTTTGAGAATGTGTTTTGTTGGCCTTGAACTCTTCTCCTGCCTCAGCCTCCAGAGTGCTAGAACTATAGACATGCACCACCATGCCCAGAAATACTGAGCACTTTAAATGTACTTAGTATGACTGAGCAACTGAATTTTTAATTGAAATAGTCACATGACTAACAGTTATGCTATTGGACAGTGCAAGTTGAAAGGAGGCAGGGCCTAGCGCCTGCCCAGACTCCTGGCTCCCAGCACAGGCTATTCTCTGATGCTGTCTGATGCCTTTGGTTAGGCCAGTACAATGAGCATGGTGATGGAGGGGCCTGTCAAGCAACCTTACCTAGTGTGGAACTCCTCTCCCCTCGCCATGGCAGGGTTGAAAAACTGGGTGGTGGCCGAAGACGTCGTGTTTAAGCCTGTGGTAGCCCCCTGGAGCCCGGAGTATCGACTGCAGCGCCCACAACTGACCCGGCAGGTCCTGAGAAGTGAGGACCTGACAGCATTTTCCTGGGGGAGACCCCTTCCCCGCTATCTTTACCTGGCTAGCAACCAGACTAATGCCTGGGGTCACCAGCGTGGGTACCGAATCCAGATTGATAGTCCCCTTGGAATGCACATACCCTTGGAGAGCGACATGGAGAGGGCCCTCAGCTGGGGGAGGTGAGGAGGGTGCACTGGGCAGTGGGTGGAAGGGAAGGGCTGGCCTCCCAGATCTAGAGGACCCACTTACCTCTCACGGTTTTCCATTCATCCCTGGACCTTCCCTTAAATCCAAGTAGACCAGGGGGTGGGAATTGGTCTCATAGAACCAGATCCAAAGGACTTCTGGGCCAGTAAAGACTATTGATATTTTCCAACACCACCTTCCTACACTTCTTGGTCAGATACCAGCTGGTGGTGACCCAGAGGAAGGAGGAAGAGCCACAGAGCAGTAGCATCTATTACCAGAATGACATCTGGAACCCCTCTACAGCCTTTGCTGACTTCATCAACAATGAAACTCTTTTAGGAGAGGTTGGTAGCTCTAACAACAGAGGAGAGGGGCTCCTCTATGCCTGGCATTCTGGCTGCCCAGCCTCTGGCCATAGGATGGAGGGAATGATTTCCAGTTCTGAGTTGGGGGCCAAGGAGTTCTCTTATGTCCAACATAGGTCATATGTCTTATGGTCAGATTAGCCTTGGGACACTGATCCCCAGCCCCAGCTACTTACACAGATCACTATGCATGCTTTGTAGGCATGAGATGAGGCTGGGCAGAAGAAGAAACCAGGCTGAGGCTAGAGGCTGGGAATTGTGGCTCAGGGGTGGTTATTTGGTTCTTGCCTCCAAAGTCCTCCAGCTTTTCCCTCTTCCTGCAGGATCTGGTGGCTTGGGTTACAGCCAGCTTCCTGCACATTCCCCACGCTGAGGATGTCCCCAATACAGTGACTGTGGGGAACAGAGTTGGTTTCCTACTCCGACCCTACAACTTCTTTGATGAAGACCCCTCCATCTTCTCCCCTGGTAGCATTTTCTTTGAGAAGGGCCAGGATGCGGGGCTCTGCAGTGTCAACCCTGTGGCCTGCACTCCACATCTAGCAGCCTGTGTTCCAGACTTGCCCTCTTTCTCTTATCAAGGCTTCTAAGCCTGAGGGTGTGGTGGGATGTGAGGGTAGAAGTAAGATATATGTACCTTTCTCTCTGTTCCCCCTTCTGATTCCCTGTGTTTCTATCACCCCTGTTCTCCAGGCTCCCACCTTCAATATTTCATAAGAAAGAGCCTAAATTCCCATGTATGCCTTTGGTTAATTCTAACTTCATGTTCATTTTTAAATGACAAATTTATAAAAATGACTTGAAATATTCAAAGAAAACTATCACAAATCCTATCACTCAAAACTAGCTGGTGATCACATTATAGAAGGCATTCTCTTATGCATGTGCCTACGAAAGGGAATGGTTGATATGTGAAATTGATAATAAAATGTCTTATAAGAATTTCACTTGAATTTATTCTATTTAACTTTGAAGTTACTAGAGTTCCCTGGGGAAATATTAAAAACTCTGGCCAAGTAAATTAGCAATGGAGAAGAGATCATAAGGGAGCAAGGGGGGTAGACATGGCCAAGGAATGTTGCTTGGGAAGCTGAAGAAGCTGGAGATAGGGTTTCCTTGGGGAGGAGAACAGTAATTCCCAGTTACAGGAAAAAGAACATCTGGCCCTGACAAGGTGGGGGTTGGGGACAAAGCTGGACTGGGGGCCCAGGGGCTGCTGAGCAGACCCAGCTACTTGCTGGTGGTGAATTTCCATATACAGACTGGGTTCCACTCCCTTCCCCCAACCCCAGCTCTCCCCAACTCCAACCCTGACCTAGAGAGCAGAGACCGTTTTGGAGCTTGAAGGACAAAGCCATGTAAGGTCTGAGGAAATCTCTCTTGCCTGCTCAGAACCGCCTCCTTCTGCTGGCCCGCCCCTTCTCTGGCCCCAGCCTCCTGCTCCTTCCCACCCTCAGCGTACACTTCAGACTAGGGGAACCTCAGCCAGACGCCTAGAGCCCCCAGTATAGCAGGCAAGAAACCCTTCTCATGCTGGCTTGAGAATACTTACCCCCACACAGGTAGAATCCTGTCTCTCCTCAAAAGACAATGACCCAGAAGACAACCCTGGTGCTCCTTGCTCTGGCTGTCATCACCATATTTGCCTTAGTTTGTGTCCTGTTAGCTGGCAGGAGTGGAGATGGGGGTGAGTCTGGCCAGTCTCCCTATTGTCCCTCCGTATCTCCCAGTGCCCAGCCCTGGACGCATCCTGGCCAGAGCCAGCTGTTTGCAGACCTGAGCCCAGAGGAGCTGACGGCTGTGATGAACTTTCTGACCCAGCAGCTGGGGCCAGGGCTGGTGGATGCAGCCCAGGCTCAGCCCTCGGACAACTGTGTCTTCTCAGTGGAGCTGCAGCTGCCCACCAAGGTGGCAGCATTGGCCCATCTGGACAGAGGAGGTCCGCCACCTGCTCGGGAGGCGCTGGCCATTGTCTTCTTTGGTGGACAATCCCAGCCCAATGTGAGTGAGCTGGTGGTGGGGCCTCTGCCTCACCCCTCCTACATACGGGATGTGACTGTGGAGCGCCATGGCGGCCCAGTGCCATATTATCGGCGCCCTGTGCTGGCCAGAGAATACCTGGACATAGACCAGATGATCTTTGATAGAGAACTACCCCAGGCTGCTGGGCTCCTCCACCACTGTTGCTTCTACAAACACCAGGGACGAAACCTGGTGACAATGACCACAGCCCCACGTGGTCTGAAGTCGGGGGATCGAGCCACCTGGTTTGGCCTCTACTACAACCTTTCAGGGACTGGGTTTTACCTGCACCCTGTGGGGTTGGAGCTGCTGGTAGACCACAAGGCCCTGGATCCTGCTTACTGGACCATCCAGAAGGTATTCTATCAAGGGCGCTATTATGAGAGTCTGGCCCAGTTGGAGGACCAGTTTGAGGCTGGCTTGGTGAATGTGGTGCTGATCCCAAACAATGGCACAGGTGGGTCCTGGTCCCTGAAGTCCCCGGTGCCCCCAGGGCCGGCTCCCCCTCTGCAGTTCCATCCTCAGGGCCCCCGCTTCAGCATCCAAGGGAGTCAAGTGGCCTCCTCATTGTGGACTTTCTCCTTTGGCCTTGGAGCTTTCAGTGGCCTGAGGATCTTTGACATTCGATTCCAAGGAGAGAGGGTGGCCTATGAAGTCAGTGTCCAGGAGGCCTTGGCCGTGTATGGTGGAAATTCCCCAGCAGCATTACTGACCCGCTATATAGATGGAAACTTTGGCATGGGCAAGTACTCTTCACCCCTGACCCGTGGGGTGGACTGTCCCTACCTGGCCACCTTTGTGGACTGGCACTTTCTTTTGGAGTCCCAGGTGCCCAAGACACTACGTGATGCCTTTTGTGTGTTTGAACAGAACCAGGGTCTCCCTCTGCGGCGACACCACTCAGATTTCTACTCCTACTATTTTGGGGGTCTTGTGGAGACTGTGCTGGTCATCAGATCTGTGTCCACCTTGCTGAACTATGACTATGTGTGGGATATGGTCTTCTACCCCAATGGGGCCATAGAAGTCAAAGTTCATGCCACAGGCTACATCAGCTCAGCATTCCTCTTTGGTGCTGCCCAAAGGTATGGGAATCGAGTTGGGGAACACACACTGGGCACAGTCCATACTCATAGTGCCCACTTCAAGGTGGATCTGGATGTGGCAGGTAAGACATCCTGATGGGGGCAATGGTTTTACAAATGGGACTCAAGAATTGTCTCTGGCCTGGGCGAGGTAGCTTTACCATTTATTCCTAGTTACTCAGGAGGTGGAGATTAGGAGGATCAGGGTTCTAGACCAGCCTAGGCAAAAATTCATGAAACTCCATTTCAAGCATTAAAAGCTGGGTATGATGGTGTGTGCCAGCCACAGCTACACAGGAAGTGTAAATAGGAGGATTTCGGTCAGACTAGCCTGGGCATAAATGAGACCTAATTCGAAAAATACCTGAAGCCAAAACGGCTGGGACATGGTTCAAGTGGTAGAGCACCAGCCTAGCAAGAGCAAGGCCCTGAGTTCAAATGCCAGTACTGGTTAAAAAAATTTAATAATTTTTAAAATTAAAAATAGAGAATTGTCTGTTTGCTTTGAGTTTTTGGCAGGTTATTCAGGAAAGAAAGATTTGAATTTTCATGCTTCCCTTTTGATTCAATGGGAGAAAATTAGCTGTTGAGTTTTATTTGGATCTTAGCTCATCAGCTGGGTGCACAGCACAGTTGCCAGACTCGATCCATGTGACCTCATTAGAAAATCTTGGGAAATGATTAAGCTCAGTGAGGACGCAGGATCTGGGCTCACAAGGTCCCTGTCACCCTCTTTTCTCCCTTGTGTTTATGTGGGCCCCACTTCAGGGGAACAGCCATTTTCCAGCTTAGTTCTCTGTGTCTGGCCTGTGGTGCTGTGATGAAAGATCTGTTTGCATACAGTCAAATCCCTGGCACATACAGGCCTGTCATGAACAAATCAGGTTAATATGTTTCCTTGGAAGATGACCAACTTCTCCCTGATTTTCCAGCTCTCTCTCGAATCCATTCACATTAGTGCAAGGGGTAGAATGGATATTGTGGAGCATTTCAGATGGTCCCTGGAGTTTGTGGCCACAGAGAGAGCCAAGAAACTCCATGGTTTCTTAGAATTGTTGTCTTTGTCTTTTCACTTGCCTTCCCCAAATTGAGTCATCATCAGATTTCTTTCTTTTCTGTCTCTGAAATGTCACAGAACACTCACTGCCTCTCCTATAGGTATCAGCCGTCTCTTCCAACACTTTCAGATCCAGGGACCACTCTGTACCCAGAGGGCCCGCCCACCCATGCCAACTTGCTCCCAAAGCTCCCACCTTCCTATGCACCTGCAGGACATTGTCTGCAGAATGACTACAAGGCCCTCCCAGAGCAGCAATAGCCTGTTGTGAAGATCCTTCCCTGAACTCTGCCACCCACATCCTCCCTGTCCCTTGAACACCCAGCCCATAGGTTACAGTTAGGCTTCTTCATTTTTGCTTATGCTTTGCTCCTGCCTACCATGCCCTTCTATGGCATCTCTTGATGACATCACTTAAGGCCAGTATAAAAGTTTCCCTGGAGGGCCCCTGAACCTACCTGCACCTGTATTCTAGAAACTCTGACCTTGTCTCACCCATTCCCTTCTCACACTATAAGCCGGACAATAGTTTGTTTATATGTGTCCCTGGTGAAAATAGGAGGGTAAGGATGGGATTTCATTCAGCCTATGCCCAGGGGAAAGCACAGTCCTCTCATCCAAAGAATGTAGAAAGGAATAAATGAAATTCTTGAAGACATATTTTAATTTATAGATCAATGGCTTTGACTGAAAGATAGGAGATATGTTGGGGAGAGGGAAGGAAAGAAGGGGCACATTCAGTCCTTGGTTGCTCTTTGGCTCCTCACTCTAAAACCAGGTGGGATCATGGGCCAGAGAGGCCAAGGTGGCTACATGACCAGCCCTTTCTGCTCTCATGCACCCTACATAGGACTAGAGAACTGGGTCTGGGCAGAAGACATGGCCTTTGTCCCCATGGCTGTGCCCTGGAGCCCTGAGTACCAGATGCAGAGGCTACAGGTGACCCGGAAGCTGCTGGAAACAGAGGAGCAGGCTGCCTTCCCCCTAGGAGGTGCCATCCCCCGCTACCTGTACCTGGCCAGCAACCACAGCAATAAGTGGGGACACCCACGGGGTTACCGAATCCAAATGCTCAGCTTTGCTGGGGAGCCAGTGCCCCAAGACAGCTCCATGGAGAGAGCCTTCAGCTGGGGGAGGTGAGTGGTGGGCTGTTGGAGAAGGCTAGGGGGGTGAGCATGGGAAGGGAGGGTTGGAGGGACACTAGAAACAGATGTACTCAAGATGAGACCTCAGGGACCATTTCCTAGTTATCTGTGTCCACAGTGAGGCTCATTTTCCCTTGGAGAGCTAAAGTTGAGGAGAGAGGACTCTCCTCTGTTTTGGATGGGAGAGAGGCTGTGCTGTGAAACAGCAGGTTGGAGTGAACAGGAAGACATGATTCCCCAGGTGGCATCAGCCCCTAGTTGTGTGAATACATGTGGAAGCTGAAATTGGAGCACTCAGCTCCCTTCCATCATAATTGGGCATCAGGACAAGATTTGTGACCATGGCAGTCTGACCAGTGCTTCCCTAGGTACCAGCTGGCTGTGACCAGGCGGAAAGAAGAGGAGCCCAGTAGCACCAGCATCTTCCATCAGAATGATCCTTGGGCCCCCACTGTGGATTTTGCTGACTTTATCAACAATGAGACCATTGCTGGAGAGGTGAGCTGCCTGTGGGAGGGCAGAGGGATGGAGGAGTGATGAGCCTCACCTTCTCATGGGAAGGGCTCTGAAAACTGATTTCCTAGGGGTGAAATTGACTCCTGCTTTCTACATTTTAGTGAATCTGATTATTACTCTTCCTGAAGTAGGAAGTCAAAAACAAATGCTGGGTGAGGACCAGGGCCTGTCCTGGAGCCCTGGAAGTCCCAGCTTTGTGGAATGAGCCCTTTCTAGGCTGGAGGTCTGAAAGAGGGTCAGATGTTACCAGAGAAGACCACAGCTCCTGACCTAAAGCTTCTCCCACTCCTGCCTTGACCACTGAGGGTGCAATTCTCCTGCCTGCTTCTGCCTTCCAAGTCCTCTTCCATTCTTCTCCCTTTTGTTATGATTTTTGTGAGCTCTCAGGGAGTTAGGAGGAGAGGAGCTGAAGTAGCCTATAGGTGTCACCCCCTGAGCTGGGTAGGTAGAGGGTGATGTGATAGGAAATGTCAGAGATGGGGGTGCAGGCCAGTCTCAGGGAGGCAGGAATTGTTCCCAAGATAAAATGGACTCTGTACTTTGACGAAAAAGTGTTTAAAGACTTAAGGTACATGGGCTGGTGAGCTGAAGCTTTTTCTGCAAGGCCATTGTGGGAGGCAGGGCATGTCTCTAGCAAAGCCTGACCCCATAATCCTCTTTCTTCTCTCCTGCTAGGACTTGGTGGCCTGGGTGACAGCTGGTTTTCTGCACATCCCACACTCAGAGGATATTCCCAACACAGTAACTGCTGGGAATGGGGTGGGCTTCTTCCTCCGACCCTACAACTTCTTTGATGAGGACCCCTCCTTCTATTCTGCTGATTCTGTCTACTTCCGGGAGGACCAGGATGCTAGGGCCTGTGAGGTCAACCCCCTGGCTTGCCTGCCCCAGACTGCTACCTGTGCCCCCAACATTCCTGCCTTCTCCCATGGGGGCTTCTCTCACAACTAGGTGGTCCCTGGCATGGGCAATCTGGTCAGGTATCTCAGGGCCAGGGGAGGATGGGTGGGGTAGCAGCTGGGCACTGGGCTGGACAGCCTGGTTCCCACTTCTCCCTCCTCACACCTATCATGTCCAAGATCATCTCTCTTCTGCTGTCCTCCCTTGCCTCCCTCTCCCTGCCAGGAGCACCCTGAGCCTTTAATGCCTGACATAGGGACACATGGCTTTGTTAATCCCAGTGGGCCTGAGTTCCTGCCGGGCAGTGGGGGGGAATGGCCCAGCGAGGAATTTGGAGTGATGGCCATGCTTTTCTCCAGATGATTTATTCTTGTTTTTTTGTTTTTTGTTCTCCGGCCATCTCTGAAGACTATGCAATGGGGACAATTCCCTAGAGACCTCAGAACAGGGTTCCCATAAGTCCTGCATGTCCACAGATGAGCTGGAAGGACCCTCTGCCCACATTCCTTCTCATGCAAGTCCCTTCCTTCTCTCCTTCCCCCTTCTTACCTTCTCCCTTCTTGAGTTCCTATCTGCTCTTACACTCAGGGATTTCCCTCGAGGTCCTGAGAAGATAGCTCTCCCTGGTGTCCCCCAACCCTCATTTTTCAACTGCAGGCTCTTCTCCTGGTCCTGAGCCTGTGGAAGTCTCAAAGATGCAATGGGGACACCTCATTGGAGAAGACAATGTCTGTACCCTTGTGTCTGTCACATATCAAGAATAGGAGTTGCTTTCATCCCTGTCCTGAGGAAGGGTATGTTTCTCTGCCTGTTCTATCTGCCTGCCCTGCCTTGCACTCTCTTGAGAAAGATGGTCATAGAGACAGCAGCAGCTCAATTTTGCATTGCAGGTGATTTGGGGACTACAATAATGGTGGTTTGGGATCATTTTATCCCAGGGCTATGCTGACTAATGGCCTCTGTGCTTTGCAGCAGCCAGTTTGGGAAGCTGGGGTAGGAGACAAGGGTGAACATCAAAGGTGAGAAACAGAAAGCCCTGGGAACTCCATCCCACAGGCCAGAGCTGTCCAATCATATGCAGGCATGCAAATGAGCCTGGTCCTCCTCCGGTGGAGAGAGTCTCCCCGCACACACCCTGGTGGGACCTGCTCCAGGGCCTCCTATCACTGCTTGGCCCTCTTGGGGTCTGGACTGGGGATGGATACAAAGAAATAGCAAGAGATTTTAAACAATAGCAATGTACCTCCCTAGGGGATTGGTCAAATCAATTCTGATCATCCTTATAATGCAATACTATGCAGCTAAAAAATAATGACAGGTCTTTATATACTAATAGGAAATAATCTTCAAGCGAAAAAGGCAAAGTGCTGAAATGTGTACAGTGTACTTCCCATGAGTGTTCTAGAAAAAAGGAGAAAATAAATACACATTTGCTTCTCTGTGCACAATTAGAAGAAAATGGGTTACCCTGGTTACCTCTGGGGAGGAGGTCAAGTGAGGGCGAGGGA